TTTCATCATCTTCTACTTCTGTTACGGCGTTCCTCATGGTCGTACTGGTCGTCATGAGGAACGTGAAATGCCATCCCCCTCCGTGTTGGTCCTCCTCCACGGTGTGATGGTTCCCCCCGCCGCCCTGGGAATCCAAGCCTCGAGTCGTTGTCTTAAAAACCTGTTTCGAAATGTCCTCTCCCTCCCTCCCTCCCTCCCTCCCTCCTTCCCTCCTCCTCCCTCCCTCCCTCCCTCCTCCTCCTCCCTCCCTCCTCCTCCCTCTCTTCCTTCCTTCCCTTTCTCCCTTACCCTCTTCCACGTGGACGCTTTCTTACTCCTTATGGACTCTCTCTCTCTCTCTAGTATTATGGACACTTTCTCCCTCCCCCACTCACACACTTATTCCTGCTGTGGACACTCTCTCCTCTCCCTCATGCGAGTCTTTGCCTCTTCCACGCTCTCTCACTCTCCCTAATTGTCATGCACGATCCCGCAGTCTAGTGCGAGTACTTTGAAGGACGTCCCCAGCTTCTCTCTCCTTCTCCGGCTTTTGGTTGGGGGTCATGGGATCGTAGTTTGATTTTGAGGTCATTAGATCCTGAGCGGGGGAAGGAGGTTGCATCCGGTGGCCGTCTTGTAAATGACGCCTATTTATAATCATATCCTATGTGTGTGTGAGAGAGAGAGAGAGGTAGACACACACACAGACACTTCTCCTTCGTCAATGGGGCGCGATGACCCTCCATCAGGCGCCAGGAATTCTGAAGCTGTCAGCTAATTGGACACTGTAAACCTATATCTTGATACTTGGTACTGTGTGTGTGTGTGTGTGTGTGTGTGTGTGTGTGTGTGTGTGTGTGTGTGTGTGTGTGTGTGTGTGTGTGTGTGTGTGTGTGTGTGTGTGTGGAGCATTTTGTTGTTGCAGGAAGAAAAGTTAGGGATCGAAAAGGAAGTACTTTAAGATCACCTGAAGATTACCCCTCCAGTTTATTTAACCTTAAGCTTAACTATCTTAACGCTACCTGGGGAATTCATTTACACCTCACAACTCTGCAGCTTTCACTAGGCTCCCCTGACCGACAGCTGCGGACTACCCGGGGGTGCAGTTGGGCGTTGCGTCAAGGTTCGGTCGAGGTGACGCAGGCAGCTGTGGTTTGGGACGGGAAATCTGAGACGTTCCTGTGTTCACTGCAATGCCCTACCATGAATTATAATGCTGTAAATAATTCCACTTATCATTGGAATTCTACTTAATGCATGAAATCATATATGCGAGGTGAATGTCATATAGAATTCCTTCCTGGTTTGTTGTTCATAACTTTTCTCTCTGAGGTAAAGTGACACTGTATGACATCATGAAAGGTACGCGCTACCATTGGTCAGTTGGCGGTCAGGGTGGTGGGTAAGCTGAGTCGAGGGCCAAGTCAGGAAGGAAGTTGAACTCTCCCATAGTACTGTATAAACTGAGTCGATCTGTATACTTCAAGGGGTTAAATCATTGTCCTCATGAGGTTAAATAATTGTGTTCAAGAGGCCAAATGTTTGATTATTATTCTCAAGGAGTTAAACCATTGGACTCTAGGGTTTAAGTTATCGTACTAGAGGGTTTAAGTCATCGTAATCAAGGGTTTAAGTTATCGTACTCAGTGATTACATTTATCGTACAGAAAGAATTGTTGTAACACAGCTTTAGGGCCAAATTCACAAAGGTTTCTACGATAATTTCTTCCTTTAACTGATAATGAATGAATATATCGAGTTAGGGTAGAGTCTCGGTGCAATGTCGAGCCATTTTGGGAGGTTTTTAGAAAGGTTCAAGTCAGGATATGTGGTCAGGTGTGTACTGTACTTATCATCTCCAGTTACGAGGAATTTTTTGTGCAAGAACCTTTGAGGATCTGGTTGCTGCTTTTTTGTGGACTAAACGTGATATTTGTATTTTTATTTAGGTTACGGTTGAGTGTTTGTGTAGCTTGCAGCACCAACAGGCAACAGATTAGAGTGATTCGCTGCAACCTGTCCAGGTGGTGCACCTTCACCACCCACCCTTTTCCACACAGTGACCACTCTCCGCCACCAACCCGTCCTCCTCCAGCGCCCCCACCACCCGCCCGCCCCCTTCGACCCCCCACGCTCACGCTGCAGGAATGTGAGAGTTGCGTCGCCTACAGGAAGTCGGTGGACTGGGAGTTACAAGTGAGGACGTCAGCGGCTCTATTGTTAGGTGGCGAGGACAGCGTTCCTCAGCGACGTCGGACTTTGTTACTGAGGACGTGTTGTCACGCCCTGCTGAATGACACTGTTGACACCTCTTGATTTGTGCTGTTTATTTTCCACATAGCTAGATGGAACGAATGAAATTAATTTTTGATGAAAATTGTAGGTCTAGAAGGAAAAAAATACATATAATATTCACAGGAGGCTTAATGATAAAGAGTCTTAACATTCACAGTTTGAGTCGACCGCTTTTTTAAAAGAAGATACTTCATCGTGTCGCTAGTATCAACATGAGGCCGGGTGTACCTTGTTTACTTCCTCACGAGGGAAAGTATTCATCCGGTGTTAGAGAGGGGGAGGTGCTTTACACCAGCCTGGAGGACACTGCACCCCGTCCCACCTGGCCCCACCCAGCCCCGCCTCACGCCACCGCTCCACCACCACGGACATCGTCAAAAGTCAACAGACCTTTAGTTAGTAGTCTTGTGAGATCCAGTGAACTCTCGGATGCATTGAAAGTCGGCCTAAGACAGCCAGAACGCCCCGCGCCCCGCCCAAACATCACCATCCTTTCATCAGCCAGCTGAGTGTGATGTCGATGACTCTTGTAGCTTTGGCATTTATCTGGAGGAGGAGGAGCCATGGTTTTCTTACCTGGAGGAGGAGCTTTGATTCTCTTGCCTGGAGGAGGAGCCTTTGTTCTCTTACCTTGAGGACGAGCCTTGGTTATCTTATCTGGAGGAGGAGCCTTAGTTTTCAGGGGTTGGGTGGAAGTGTGAGCAGAGTGTTCCAAGGCGCAGGGTAGGGAGCGGGGTAGCCCTTGGTACTAGGGCAGGTTGTGGAGGGGCAGTACAGTAGGTGTTGCTAGAGCAGGCTGTGAAGGACGTAGGACAGTAGGTGTTGCTAGGGCAGGCTGTGAAGGACGTAGGACAGTAGGTGTTGCTAGAGCAGGCTGTGAAGGACGTAGGACAGTAGGTGTTGCTAGAGCAGGCTGTGAAGGACGTAGGACAGTAGGTGTTGCTAGGGCAGGCTGTGAAGGACGTAGGACAGTAGGTGTTGCTAGGGCAGGTCGTGGGATAGAGTCACATAACCTGTTTTATTACCCTTGCCTTTGTTTATGTTGCCTTTTTGGGGTTAGTTGTGCCTCGCCGTCATAACTCGTAAGTTATATTTACCTCGCCGTTCTCACCTGTACCTCGCCTGACAGGTAGAGACTAATCAGGCCGCCGGAACGAGGAAATGAAATTTATATATCTTTACTTCTTGACCTGGAAAGCCCATCTGTTCCCAAACTTCTCTTCTGACGTCAACTTGCACCCACCTGATGCCACCTGAGTTACCTGGGCTTCACCGTGCTGAGGTGTTAAGTCACGAGAACCTGTACTTATTACGTGACTCTCTCTAGCATACTTTCTCTTACCTTTTTCTTACCCCTTCACACGTGCCACAGGTTCCCCATGCTTCTCCCACTTTCTTTCTTATACTCTCCTTACATTCTTTCCCTCTCGTTTTTCATGTCTTCTTCTCTTTCCTTTCTTCTACTCTCCTTCTCCTATACCTTTTCTGCCCCCTCCCCCTTCTTCTGCCTTTATACATCCATGCCTGTGTCAGTTGTTAGGCCTGGTACCCACAGCACGACGTCCTCGACAAGGAGAGTCGTGTCATTATAAACATCAACCCATGAGCGACATACAACACCTGACATTCCCCTCCACATCGTAATAACTCGGTTGTCAACTTCACCCATCGAACTGTTTTTTGTTTGTCCTGGAGTTGTTTCAAGAGACGAGTAAACACCCCAACACAATGTATAAGCGCTGCGTGGGGGGAATCTAAACCTGAATCTGACGTAAGTTTAAGATCTTCGAATCCCTATTTGATACCCTCTCGTCGTTTTTGTAATCTGAACTTCATAACTCAAGTTGATCTGTGTATTCGACGGGTTGGAGTGTGAGTGTGTGTGAGGTGAGTCAACGGGCGAGACAGGTGAGTAACGGTGCCATCAGAAGCTTCTGTAGTAGTGGCTGGTGGTGTAGGGGTCTGTAGTCTTCGCCACACAAACATCACGAGTGTGAGGCACCGTCACTTGGAGGAGTTGTGTGTGTTTCTTTGCCCTGGTACTGTACATACTCCACCTTCGGGTACTGTGTACTACTCTAAAGGTAGTGCAGGATGACTGTATGTTTGTACGGCTACATGTTGCATGGACGACTATTATGTACAGTGCCAAAAGCTGTGCACGCCGCCATCAAGCAGCTGAATACACGTTTTCGTATTGCATCCGTCAAGAAGGTATGGCACGTGTCAGGTAGCCGGCCGAGGGTCGTAGCTTTTTTTTTATTGGGCACTCCCCTACATCCTTGTGTAAGGTGAAGCGTTTACAGCGCCCAACAGGGAAGCATGCCAAGTTCATGGTTGCCTTTGTCTCATGAGTAAGGGTCCCTGTGAGGGGTAGAAACAAGCTTTAGTCATGGGTCAAGTACAGGGCGCTGTGTGGTGGTGGAGACGACCGAAAGTGGCAATTGTGTGGACTGGTGATTTTTTGTATTATATATATATATATATATATATATATATATATATATATATATATATATATATATATATATATATATATATATATATATATTGAGAATTAGTGTTACTCAAGTAACATTACATAATAATGTATTTTATCAACAATAATTAATACGTATTGCATCTTATTTTACATGGATACATTAACATTATTACAGTACAATTATGAGATTTGTTCGTCAGTATTTTCTTAACCAGCGTCTAAGATAGTCGTCTTCCTCCCACAGGTGACGATGGAGCCACGACGGTTTGGCCTCCGCCCCGTGACGCCCCGGAGCAGTCTGACCCCAAGGGGCGGCCCCTCCACTCCCGCCAGCGGCCCAGGCGGTGCCCCGAGAACCCCGCGTGTGTGGCGGCCCAAGGGTCCCCAGGAGAGCCCCGGCAACCCCAGCAGGATACTGAAGAAGGAGGAGAAGGAACAGCTGCTGAGGAAACTGACACCCATGCAGTACCGCGTCACGCAGGAGAAGATTACCGAGCGGTCAGTGTGTGTGTCCTCCCCCCTCCTCCTTACCTATTCCCCATACCCTCCCCCCCCCCTTTTTTTAACCATACATTCTACACACACTCCCTCTTCCTCTCTCAATTCACCACCCCTCACCCCATCTTCTCCCCATTTCCCACTCCAGCACCTACTGTACAAGACTCCCCTAAGTACTTTTTTTTTTTTTTTTTTTTAAATTGGCCTCCAGCCTCCCCCAATAGCCACACCTTCGCCACCATTTATTTACCTTAATATTAAATATCCTAATACATAAGAAACTATCCTATCTGTGTTAAATTAGTTGAGCCGCAGATCTACTCGCCACTTCCATCACCACTCCAATTAACAGTGACTGGTTAGCCGTACTCGGGCCTCAACACACCCGGGCTCGACGTCACTGCTCCTCCACTCAGCATCATCTGATTAATTAACTTCGTTCTTGATTCACAAAGGATGGGTGATTTATTTTTACGATTTTTCAGGGATTACCGTAAGATGAGACACCCCAGTTTATTTCAACTTAATATTAACCACCCCAAATCTAAATTAACCTCATCTAATTTGATTTTAACCTAATATATTTAAAAGGATCACTTAAGCTTCAACAAATTGTAGGTGGACACAGCGTCAGTAACAACAAAGCACTGTGACGCGCCCTGTAACTAGACGCTTTATCGGTCTTATCTTATGAATTTTTAAGAATCCGGTCGGACACTGTAGTGCTACCATTCACACACACATAAGATAATAATGGCCCTTTACATCACAATGGATCCCAGCCCTGACCTATGACTAGGGAGTGACGTCATTTCCTGTTGTCACATTGAGAGATAAGCCATTGTGATTTTTTTCGTCTTTTTTTTTTCAAACGTGTAGGAATGATTGAGTGCAGTAGGCGACTATCCATGCAGCGAGCCACTGTTTGGTGAGTGGGGGGGGGGGGAGCATTATTGAGGCGAGGGAGTTATGTCCTTATTTATGTTACACTGTGGCGACCACGACGGCAGGATCATCTAGTATATATTCTGTTGGCTGACCTTGTTCCTCAGTCTACCTCCCTCCCACCTTTCCTGTTCACATCCCTCCTCCCTTTCCCTTCTTGCTTGCCGCCTTCCTTAGCTCTTTCTCACTCTTGTTCGCCCCATTTTTTTTCTTTCTCTCCTCTCCTTTTGCCCATTTTCTTTCCTTCCCTCCTCTCCCTTTGCCCTTTGTCTTTCCTTTCCTCCTATCCTTTTGCCCCTTTTCTTTCCTTCTCTCCTCTCCCTGTTTGCCCCTTTTCTTTTCTTCTCTCCTCTCCCCTTTTCCTTCCTTCCCTCCTCTCTCTGTTTACCTCCTTTCCTAGCTTGCCCCTATTCTTCCCTTTTCCTTCCTGATTTGTCTTCTCCTTTCTTCCCTTCCCCCTTCTCTCCATGCTTGTCCCCTTCCTGCTTACCATCCATGTTTATGTCTGTCCTTAGGTTTATCCCGCTCTACCAGGACAGAATATGCACATCCTTAGGAAATAATTTGGCGTGTGTGGGAAGCCTGTTAAAGGGCACAGTGTGGAAGTGCTATGAATACTGCCTTAGTGTTGACCTTGCCGATTGTCTTCTATTTTTACTATCTCCTGCTAGGAATACAGGGGAATTGTATGTTTGTGTGGCTCTTTTTGTGTGTATGTATAATTTAAATGTCACTGTTTCTATGGCTACATGTTTGTGTGTATATACAGGAGTTGTTTTGGGTCTTGCACTTGTTTCAGAGGTTTTTTTTTTCGATTGTATAAACCCAATATTTTGTGGGATTATATACCGTACAAAACCGCTGGTTGATGTAATATTGTCGGTGTGTAATTGTGCAAATATGGGTATTGCAGAAGCATTAAAATTTCCGTACCGAGTTCTCCACATCACTGCACTGCTAGTTCATTCCCGCTGTGGATTGTTTACAACCAAAACAACGCCCACCTCGTGGATCACCACCGCTCGCTTGGCCCCATTAGAACCCTATTGTTAAAAGACTATAAATTAAATGAAGTCACTTATATAATTAGTACCTTCACAAAGCCATACCTGTATTAACAACATATTTTAACTTTTACTTTTTACTTTAACTTTATCCTCTTGGACACTGATCGGCTCGCTAGCCGCCCGGGCGATCGGTCACGTCTCTGTCACGCGCTGTTGGCAAATACTGGGCATGCACCGGCTCCTGAATGTACCTGAACCCGCTCCAGTGTTGGTCAAGTCTTCTCTTGAAAGAGCTCACACTCGGTGCCGTCACAACACTCTCTGGTAGATTGTTCCAAGAGTTTACAACCCTCACTCCGAAAAAGTTTGCCCTCACAGTTTTCTGGACTTGCGGCTTCTTCAATCTTGAGCTGTGACCCCTTGTGGGGCGAGCGTCCGCCAGCTCCAAGTAAGGACACTCAACTGAGTAGTGCCCCCTCAGATGCTTATACACCTCAACTAGGTCCCCCCTTGCCCGTCTGTAGTATAAGCTAGGCAAGTTCAGGTGCTCCAATCTCTCAGGGTAGCTGAAGTGCCGAAGTGCAGGCACCAGTCTGGTGGCCCTCCTTTGAACATTTTCAACCAACTGACAGTCCCTAGCATATCTCGGGGACCAGACGGGGTGACAGTACTCCAGATGGGGAAGCACTTCACTCTTGAAGATCGTTACGAGGGACGGACAGTCTAGATATCTGAACGACCTTCTTATAAGACCCAATAATTTATTTGCCTGGTTTACCTTCTCGCAATGGCCCCGAGAACTTCAGCTCATTGTCAACATACACACCTAGGTCCTTCTCACATAAAGTCTCAACTAGTGTAGTTTCTTCATCCCGTTGGGACATATGATACGCCTCCTTACCGTTGGTACGCCCCAGGTGCATCTTCTTACACTTCGTTACATTGAATCTCAGCAGCCATTCCTTCAATCATTCCTGGAGCCCACAGAGGTCCTTCTGCAGCTCTTCACAGTCAGCTTGGTTTCCCGAAATAACTTAGCGTCATCGGCAAACATTTGAATGGAGGAGTGTACAACGTCAGGCATGTCATTTATGAAACAAACAAACAACAGCGGGCCCAATACACTGCCCTGTGGTACCCCACTTGTGACAGGTACGGATGACGATTTCGTGCCATTAATCACCACACACTGCTTGTGGTCATGTAGAAAGTCTTCTATCCATGCAAGGACATTTCCCCGAATTCCGTACCCTTCCAGTTTGATTTTCAGCCTTTCATGGGGGTACACTGTCGAAAGCCTTGACAAAATCTAGGTAAATATTGTCGATATTACCACCCCGTTCCAGAATATGGGTCCAAATATCCAATACCTTGAGCAATTGTGTTAAGCAGGAGCGCCCCGGCATAAAACTGTGTTGGCAGTCCTTTACAAGATTGTTTCGTATTAGATGTTCCATTACGGCATCTCTGATAATACTCTCAAGTACCTTACCTATTATGCTGGTCAGGCTCACTGGTCTATAGTTGTTCGTGGAGTGCCGATCTCCCTTCTTGAAGATAGGACTCGCATAAGCCACTTTCCATTCACTGGGGACCATTTGTTCATCCAGGCATTTACAAAACAGGATCTTCAGGGTCTCGGCAAGCTCGTTGCATAACTCTCTTACCACTCTAGGATGCACCATGTCAGGGCTGGGACTCTTATGGACCTTTAGCTTGGACAGTTTATTTCTAATACCCTCTTCCGTGAACACAATGTGGGTCAGTGCTGTGTCGAACTGTCTGTCCTCAAACGCAGGAAGGTTAGTTGCATCCTCTCTTGTGAACACCTAGGAAAAGCTGTTCAATGCCTCAGCTTTATCCTGGTCAGAATCTGCGTAACTACCATCCACAAGCCTCAGGTCTGATACTCCTACTCGCGTTTTCAATTTCGACTTTGCATAGCGGTAAAACGCCTTTGGGTTTGACTTGACCTCGCGTGCAACCAGCCTCTGGAACTCCTTTTCAGCCTTCCTACACTCTATCTTTGCTTGGTTTCTGGCTCTTGCATACATCCTCCTGTCTTGCTCATCGTTTGACCCAACCCAAGTCTTGAATTTCTGGGTTTTCTTCTTAATTTTGTCGACCGCCGCATGGTTCATGTGTAGGGATCCCCTCGTATTCCTAGAAGCACTGGGTTTGGTCTTGGGTATATATTTATCGATCAAATGGGTCACTTTACTAGTTATGATATTCAGCGTAGTGTCCACGTTCTTGTACCTTTATGAGTCAGGCCAGTTGATACCACTCATCTCTTCCCTCATCCCATTGTAATTTCCCTTGTAATATTTGCACCTTGGCCTGGCCTTATCCTGAACTAGGTAACAGTTAAATCTGAATGACAACACTGTATGGTGACTGGTGCCAACTGGGGCAAGGTGTTCCAGTTTGGCCACCATACCCTCCTCGTTTGTTATGATGAGGTCAAGTGTTTGCTCCTCTCTGTAATGTGTCGGGTCTCTAACATGTTGGAACATAAAAGTATCTCTCAGAGTTTCTACAAAAAGAGTAGCAGGGTTATTCAAGTCATTTAGGGTGGACTCGTTTCTCCAGTCGACGTCGCCATAGTTAAAGTCCCCCATGATAAGGGGGTGGCTAGGGTTGAGCATCGCCGTGTTGTTTATTAAGGTTCTTAAGTTCCTTTGATTTAGTGGGCCACAGTTTGGGGATCTGTAGATACACCCGACAATAAGTACCGGTAAGTCCCCTCCCCTTAATTTAATTTTACACTACTTGGACTCTTCTAAAGCATCCTCTCCCTGTACCCTCGCCTGGCTGGCTCTAAGGTCTTGCCTAGCATAGATAACCATATCACTTTACATTGTGAAAATGTCCCTGTCCTTTACAAGAGAAATAACTTTAAATACTCTTATCCGCTTTGCCACTTGTCAGCTTACCAGTTGGTTAGTCTGTCAGCAAGGGAGGTACTGGGCATGCACACAGGCTCTTGAGTGTAGCTGAAGAGTGAATGTCACTTAAAATTGAGTTCACGCTAAAAGGTTGTAAATATTTCATGGCTCACCGGTTTACAGCACTTAATAAATTTTCTTACTTGAAACAGCACTATCGGTAGTGTCTAAATGTTGAGCTTTGTTAAAGATGTAGGCTACTATAAGCTAATTTCTGGTGTAAGTGTATGCGCTCTTGCTAAGCATTTAGAATTTTAGATGGACACTCAGCCGGATCATGAAGAGAGCAAAGAGAAAGTGTTTTAGGACAAAAGCTAACAAGCCTCAACCCTAGGCACCAGGCAGATAATGGTGCTCTTTCTAGTTAGGTCACCATTAGATACCAGCAGACACCAGTCCTCGGTAGAGTAGAATGTTCGGTCACTCGCCACTCAGGTTAAGATAAAGGCCTCTTACTCTAATGACACACTTTGCTGAAGAACTACTTTCACCAGAGCATAGCAACTACTGTGCTGTACATTATGTGCATTATTATTATTACAGTACAGTATTTGTATTATTATTAATTGTACTGTAGTAATGATAGTATAATTATTATTATTATTATTATTATTATTATTATTATTATTATTATTATTTTATTAATATACAGTATTATTGTTATTATTATTATTATTATAAATTTTATTATTATATTTTATTATTATTATTATTGTTCTCAGTATTATTTTATTTTGGTGTATTTTTTAATTACGTACTGGTAAAAATTTAATTTACTATGAATAATTATTATTGTTATAATTATTATAATTAATATTACTACAGGGTATTACATTTTGGCCCCCCAGGCCCTGATGTGGGTCAGTGATCTATGCCTGGGTGGGCTAATCCCTGTTTGAAAAAAAAAATTTGATCCACAAAAAACTTTCGGTTTTCAGAGCTTTTCGGTTTTCGGAATTTTGGATAAAGGGTTGTCAACCTGTACAGTATTATTAATAATACAGGGGGGTATTGCTATTATTATTATTATATTTGCTTTTCTCTGCATTATGTTTTGTATACAGTTAACCCTCACTTTACGCGGTTAATGTAACCCGGAGGGTCCCGCGTAAAGTGAGAAATGCGTAAAGTGAATAACATAACATATGGGATTAATTGAAATGGAGTCCGGGCCGATCCCCAAACTCCACTTTTTGACGACACACAACTATGTTGTAGTAAAAATATTATCTTAACTTTATGATGGTATGCACACACAATTAATAATTAAGAGAAATATCAATAATATTAGGTTTTTTAACACTTACATTAGTAGAAAAAATGGCTGGGCACACGGGGATGGGCGGTTGGTTCCGAGGCAGAGGGCAGATTATTGGCCCTCACCTGTGTCACTTGTATCAATTGTATCACTATCCACCACAGAGGCTTGCAGGGCCTCTTTGTCAAACTCCCCAAAGTCCATATAAGTCCATATCCTCACCATAATTATCACTATCACTGACTTGGGCTGGCGGGTGAAGAACTGGTAATGTTTTGATGACTGGGCGACCTTGTGCGCACCATGTTCACGCAGCTTACACAACATGGCGGATGGCGGGAGATTTGGATCCAAAAATGGCGCGGCTCGCCAGCCGCTCTCCGCGTAAAGGGGTACACGCACCGCGGAATGTGAGCATCCTGGGTTCCGGCAGGGCACCGCGCAAACGTGGAAACGCGGAATGTGGGACCGCGTAAACGTGGAAACGCGGAATGTGGGACCGCGTAAACGTGGAAACGCGGAATGTGGGACCGCGTAAACGTGGAAACGCGGAATGTGGGACCGCGTAAAGTGAGGGTTAACTGTAGTCAATACAGTATACACAGAATTTATAGGGTTTTATAATGTATGGGATAACATATTAAACAAAGGCTGTGTTCTGGTTAATTTTGATAACATAAGGAAATTTTAATATTTTTTCTCTCAAGACAATTTTCCTCTAAAAGTTCAAACATATTTACAGTATTCACTGAACAATTTTTTTTTTTTTTTTTTTTGAGGGGGGGGGAGTTTTAGAGATACAGTACTACACAGCCTTCACAAGTCATGGTCAGGGCTGGCTGGACACCCTCTCCCCAGTTCAGGGAAGTAGGGCTGGTTAACCTCACCTTCTTGTATTCAGTTGAAGGATACCATCATAACAAAATATACTATATGTCATCACCGTGAGAATGAATGAGTGACAGCTACTGTTAGGAAAGTTTGTGATTGATTTTGTCCTCCCTCTATTATACAGTAGCAAGAATAGTTTCAGTATTGTACATATTGCTACTGTGCTTCAAGTACTGTACAGTACAGTATGCAGTACCCTGTATATACAAGTGCTCAGGAAGGTCTGAAAAGGATTTTAAATCCTATTCAGTGGCTTCACTGTGATCTCATTAGAGCAACAAGTGTTGTACTGTATATTTGAGAAGTTGCTGATTGCAACACTTTCTAAGGCTTCCTTTCAACTTACTTGACCATGAAACATGTGACTTGTGTTCCTCCTCTTTAAATATTCTCAAACAGTCGAACCCAATCCATGTTATACTGTGGCACGTACACAATTTGCTATTTTTAAAAGGTGGTACTGTACATATGGATATAAAAATTAATGAAGTTTAGTACTGTATATGTATTTAAAATAAAAAGTTGGAGGTATGTGAACCTGTGCCCCATACAGATGTGCACCTGTGCTCTCTGGTCCTCCACACTGACCAAACTAGGTCTTTCTGGCTGTTGTAATTCCTTACAAGTACAGTAGCACCTCACCTCATTTTTCATGCTTGCATCAATACAGGTATGTACACTTATTTCCCTCTTGCACAACTTATTCTAGAACATCTTATTAATTTACTCCCATTTTTCCTCATTTACCCATTTCCTCATCCTCACTTTTTGAACCTGCAAGACCTACTTTACCACCATTCATCATCCTCAAAGACCGTGCATTTTTCCATGAATGAATGATGACCTTGTTCAATATCATAGTAACACATTTAAATAACACACTTAGCCCACTGTATGAGGACATGGGATTAATTCTGAATGTTGGATAGGTTTCAAAGATACTTTTTATGATGAACAGAGAGCACAGGACCCTCTTACCTAATACAGTACTGTACAGTATATCTTTCCATGGAAGAGTGTGACCAATCTCCTCAGTTTACATCATAATATCAATGTTGTTTAAAAGTGTTGTCATTATCATGACCTCTTTAACAGGCCATACTCCAACAAGTACTACAAGCACTGGGAGCGCGGAGTGTACTGCTGTGTAGTGTGTGGAGAAGAGCTCTTCCTGTCTCACACCAAGTATGACTCTGGGTCTGGCTGGCCAGCTTTCTATGATATCATCAGCAAAGACAAGGTGTCCCTCAAGCAAGATCTTTCCCATGGTGAGTAACAATGTTTTGGGGTTACACAATACAGTAATTGAAAAATAAAAATACCTGTACAATAAAATAGAATTACTGTATAATATATGTATTGTATACAGTGACTGTACTTATTAAATTCAGCATTTCATTAGTAACTTATAAATTAAATACATGAAAGTACAGTAATGGAACTTATTAATTTACTTTCACTGTAGACATTACCCTTTGAGAAAGAGCAGTTTCAACATTTAATTGTACAGGTACTGTACTTGAGAAACCCTTTTTTCTACTTCGCAGCTTGTGATATTTACAATCTGAGTACAGTACATGCCTTAATCCAAGTCAGTGTTGGGAGTAGTCAGCTAAGCACTGTTTGTTCTGCTGTTTTTGTAAGCGTATATAATTGGAAATGGGTGATTACATTCTGCTTTACCTATCAAGAAGACCTAGTTTCCAATACTGTATCAGAACTACTGTACAAATTTCACTAAGGTACATTGGTTACCAGAGTAATCTCTCATCCTTGGTTACTCTCCACCTGAAGGGAGTTTGTGATGCTGCTTTGTTTTATCTCTTGCCATCCCCACTATAAATTGCCCCATCAATATCTACAAGTGCAACAAGCATAATTCAATAACAGATACAGCACTTTAATGATGATGTTGGAAATTATTGATGCAAAATTGAGAAATATGAGGAGAATTAGAATGCATTCTTTCAATATAGGAAACAGCCAGTGTTGTACGTTGACGCCGTTAATTTAACACCGTCAATGGACTGCGGCAACTTTTTGTTAACGCTGATGCCATAAATTTTTTGGGCAGGTGACGCTATAGGTGACGCAGTCAACTTTTCACCCAAACAGAGCGTCAAGTTTCAATTTGTTTGTCAACTTCTAAAAATTTGTGTTTTTCAAAGTTCGATTTTCAATTATCATGTTATAAAGATGACCGACAAGGCCTTGAGGGAGTTGTTCATCAAATACAACACCCCCATCCCCTCTAGTGCTGCCGTGGAGCGCATGTTCTCCATGGGCAAGGACGTCTTGAGGCCCAAGCACAGCAGAATGAGCGACAAGCATTTTAAGATGCTAGTATTCTTGCAGAACAAATGAATAATTAAAATTATAGTAATATAAATCATAACAAATGATTAAAAATTAATGAATATTTTTTATTTTTAATATGTTACTCCCATACACAGGAGAATACGCGTTTTGGGGCTGCATTTGTATGTCACTGAAAACTCGTTGACCCTAGGTGTTGACGTTGAAGCTAACGGCGTCAATTTATGAAATCGTTTACGCCGACACTGACGGCATCCAATTTCTCGGCCGTTTACGCCGACGCTGGCGACGCCACTTTTTTTCGTTGACGCGTACAACACTGGAAACAGCAGATATAGATATGCAGTATATCTCAGCATATTAGGAATTACTTAAAGCCAATGTCTTTTCAGTTGGTGCCAACCTTCTGTTATTGGTGTGCAACCCATCCCTGGCAAGAACAGAAGTTGCGTGTGCCACGTGTGGTGCTCACGTTGGACATGTTTTTGATGATGGACCCAAACCCACAGGACAGCGCTTCTGTGTCAATTCTTCATCACTCACTTTCAAACCTCAGGGTCCTGTGGATGAAAACTGTGTGCCTAATTTAGAAAGAATGGTTTGTATTTACAGAATTTTGAAGTTACAGTGTGCTTTTTTGCATTATTTTAAAAATAATAATTATTTCCCGACACTTGTTTATTCATAATGATGAAAATTGCATAGTTTTGAACCACAACAACACAGTAACATCAAATCAAAACCTTAATACAGTACAGTATATCGAAACTCATGTTTACTACATCATATTATTCTCTGCTATATCTGTACAGTATCTTGAAACATCAATGGGTAAAAATAATCTGAGATTACAATTTAATGGTCCATTATGGATTTCTTTCATTTCTCTCTTCCACTTTGTATTATACATTTCTGTAGATCATTACTAATATAATTCATAGCTCTTGATTCACAGATATAATGCATAAACGTACATTCTATTACAGTATTATTGTTGAGGAAGGTAATTAATGTCACTATTTTTGGCACTCCCTATTTTATACAGTATTAATGTGAGGTAACATGGCTGCTCTATCATATTTATATGATGTGAGATTTTCCTGTGTTTTTTGAGAAATACTTTTAATTTCCTTGCGAGTCATTGTCTGTGTACCTGTGGTGTATTGGTCAGCATCCTCGCCTCGCAAGCGAGCGGACCCGAGTTCGATCCTCGGGCAGGGTGAAACTATGGGCAAGTTTCTTTACGCCATTTGCCTCTGTCTACCCAGCACTAATTGGAAACCTGGATATTTATCGATTCGCGGATCATATTCCGGGGTAATGGTTAGCCAGTGCAGTTGGCGAGTTGGACAGTCTTCTCGGACTATTCCTCGACACTGTGTCATGCAGCTCATTAACTTAGGGTGTGGTTGTTATGTTGGCGACAGCTTCTACACCTTAAAACAAATTCACGCCTAGGAGGCCCTTGGGCCGATCATCCTTGATTTTGAGGGGCTTCCATTATTGTATAGTAACAATGAACATGTCTATTTTAGCTGCCACTTTATTATACAGAGTATATATTAATTATTTATATTTCAAAATATGAACCATCCCAGTACAGTACAATACTCCTGTTTTAAACCCATTTGAGGAAATTCACATACCATACTGTATCACTATAATGGGAAGGGGTCCCCAAGCACATTCTTGTACAGTATCCACTTACTCAATATCTTAAATTTACAACTCTCTTACATATACAGTATGGGTATACAGTACTGTATGGTATATAAGTAAACTATTGAAGCTAAAATACAGGTGTATTGGAAATATTTAACCCAACAATAGTATTTGTAATTTTTAAGAAGTTAATTGCAATAATGGCCATTTAAACTGTTATTAATGAGATATGGATAGGTGATGTTAACATTAAACTCATACAGTCTAATCTCTCTCCTTCCTAGCACGAGAAGATATGGTCAGCATCATCACCCCGGCCAGCAGAACCAATAGTGCATCTTGCCTCACCATCAAATTCTTGTGCCCTTGGAGCCCGTATGTGCTTTCGAGTATCAAACATGGATGCATGTGAGGCCACCACGCCACAATCCTGAGACACGTCGACCGGTCCCTGTAGGGGACGTGAGGCTGTGGGCTCTCTTGATACTGGGACAGCCTCGACAGATAATGCGGTTAAGGATGGTCATGTCACTACTCAAGATCCAGGAAAACTAGTAAAGGTATCACACACAGCTGTTCCAGATGCTAAGCACATGGTTCAAAGAAACAGTGAGGAGATATGCAAAAGAGTGCAGGCAAGGAATGATTGGCTTGCTTCTACACACACAGATCAGGATGCAAATACAATAACTTCAAAGAGCAGGAAAAGCTTAACACAGAGAGAAAAGTTTTTCATGGACCGGAATTCATCTAAAGACTTTGATAATATTAAAGGTACTTCACAAGATTATTCGCTTAATGTTCATATTACAAATGTTACAAAACAAACTGCAACAAAAAATGGAAATGAAAATGTGAATAACAATGAGACCCTTGATTCTAAAAATAAATCTGAACTTAAAACTAATAATAAAATTAATAGGATTAAGTCAAAATCACCTGTGGCAGTTAAGGATTCATTGGTGAATGGTTCAATAAAGAATTTGAAAGATGGAAATCAAATATCTAGATCAGATAATATACCCAAAGGAATTGGTACTCTTACAGCAAAACCTTCAGCAAAAGTACAAGAATCTACAAGCTTAAGTAAAAGTAAATTCAACTGTGAAGAAATATCAACTCAAGGATCAACGATGGAAGTAGAAAATGAAAATTGTAAAGAAGGAACATTATACAATGACTTAAATCCGATAGAACATACAAAGACAAAAAACAACACTGAAATGAAATTTGACTTTCCAGGGGAATCCAAAACCAGTCCCAATAATACAGAAGACAGACTTGTATCTAACGGTACAGTCATTACAAATGGGTGGCCTGATATTAAGGAGTATACAGTGGTACAGATGAAAGAAAGCCTTGAAAACTTGGAGGCTAAAGTCAATCTAGAGATGTGCACTTCCAGTTCAGATAGAGAGAATTTAAGTTTAGAACTTCATAATGAAGCAGAAAGTGACAAAGATGACAAAGCACTTACTGAAACTCTAGTCAAAGATAAGAAAGACAGTAAAGTGTCCAGATTCGTACGGATGTTCAACAGGAAGGATGCAGGTGCTACTGAAGGTGGCGAGAGATCCTCGGGCAGGAGAAACCAGAGTAGAATGTGGGGAATGTGTTTACAAGTTCAGAGTCCAAATGTAGAGGATGAAGATCATATTGATTTTGGCTACAAGAGATGTGAAATACCCAGCATAAAAAGTGAACCTCTTATAGATAGCAAATACAGCGATAAAGAATCCAGTTTAGAATTAGATATTGAAAGAGGCAGAACATCTAGTTTTGATGATATTGAAGTCACCAGTCATCAGTCATTAGATTATATTAGTGAAAGGAAGAAAAATTTGAAGTTAAACACTGAAAAAAAGACGAAGAGTATATTAAGAAATACAGGAGGACGGAGATCATTTGATAAACCCCAAAGATCAGCCAAGAGTCTTACGAGAAGATCCAACACTCTGGAAGATATAGATGATAGCACCAATAAATATTCCAGATCAAGTAAAACCTTGCCTGCCACACCTACCTCAGGGGTCGCTGGCTCAGGACAAGACTCAAATACTAGTCACCCTTTTTATAAACGATTCTACAGTCATTGTATGGTTCTTCCTATGATGAAAAGAAAAAAAGAGACAGCAAAGAAATTCACAGAGCACAAAAACTCTGATATTGTAATAGATACAAGTCCACAGAGTTCTGCAATTTTCTGGCAAAATGGAGAGGATGAGCAAGAAAATGTAATTGCTCAGTTAAAGGAAGTTCATTTTGCCGCAGCTGCCACGAAAAAAGAAGAGGAAATTGAGGACTCTCCCAAAAAACTACCTGTTATTGATGACCTACTTGCAGAGATAATGGAAAATGTATCAATAATGGAACACGAGATGAAAGAAGATGAAAGTAGACGTGCAAGTATCCACAGTTTTCTAGAAGGTGGTGTATTGCATGATAGATCAGACAACGAAAATATTGAATCTCGGGCAACATCGAAGAATCGTGGGACCGAAGGAGCCACGGCAGATGACACAGACTCCTGGGATGATATCTTTAATACTGACCTGCTTGATAGCCTTGACCCAATTGATGGAACCAGAATCAGAAGGTCTATTTCTCGAGTTGGGTCACTCATTTCCAAATTTGAACAAAAACCATAAGCCTGGTAGTAGAGAATTGTTATCTTATAGTTCCATTGAAATGACTGTGTGTAGTCTCGAATATGTACCCGCTGTGACCGTGTGTGTGGAAAGAACACTAACCCAATATGAATGAGAAAATATTTATCTTCAAATTTCCTTGAAATATTTTACTCTAAACATAAGTTTTGAACATACAATTAACTTGAGAGCTGTTAGTGATAAAATCAGAAAATAGTTAATAGTCTTAAATTGGCTAAGAAATGAAGCTCTTTTCAACCAAGTCAAGAGGAATTTTCAAATAAGTGTTGAAAGGTGGCTCCTGGAAAAATGAAAAATTGAAAATTGGTATAACAAGTTACCAACCTACCAAGGTTCTTATTTGTTTTCCAACAAAGATGTTATTTAAGTTGGATTCAAGGGCTTGAGATATCATTTAAGTCAGAATCTAGGGCTTATAAATATTAAATTTTGCTTGACAGTAAAGTACAATACGAGGGTACTAATTTTGTTTTAAGTTTATGCTGGGATTACCTGCAGCATTTACTCTGTACTACTGTACAGTACTACAAGCTACAGCCTAAACAATACTTTTGTTTGTATTGCCAGTCATGTCTGTCATATATAACTACACATAATTACAAAGGCATGAACTGTCTAGTTCCTGTATAGAACTTAAACATGCAGTACAGCACAGCATATTCTTTTGAGTCATCCTGTTAAGGATGAATCAGAATTTTGAGTAATTTAGAAAACAATAATTAACTTTTCTGTCCATAAAATTCATAAATCATGATTAGAGAGCAGTATTATATTTCATAGTGCCACCTTCATTCTTAATTTTGATAATTTTGTTGCTTAAGACGAAGAGGACACAAGCCTGCCTTATGTACAAATGCTGAGCTGACATACAAAATACTGTGGCAGAAGTTGCAGGCATTGTTGTAGGACTTGATAATTAGAAATAAAGTAAACACTGACCAATGTACAGTCATTACATGGTATAAAAGTTGTGGATGGATTCTCCAACTTCAAGTGAGGTAACACTGTACTGTATTTAATGCACATAGACAGAGGTCTGGACAAAGAATCAGAATTGACCACTAATTTTAGACATGTTTCTCTAGTTTCCTCCTTTTTTTAAATTAAGTTTCATTTCTACATACAACATTCTTGATGAGTGTATGAGTTATTCATTCAGCTCATAAAATCATTTCATAATGTATATACATATATATACAGTATATATAAAATATGGTACAGTATACAGTCCATGTACAGTATATATATATACCTGTATATATATTGTACTGCATAATTATACAGTACCAAGTACATATTATTTTTTGCATACTGTACAGTACATGGAAATGCATACCTTCATATATATTATGACATGTTAAACAATACAGTAATTAACACTATTGTCAGAAGAATTTTAGTATCATTCTCTGGGAAAATTTTCAAATACTGTGTACTGTATACTTTTTATGACTCGTCTGCCATTTTGAGTGAGGAAGTTTTAGACAAGTTAGACCTGAAAGGTAACTGAAGCTGACATTATATAATTGTATGTACCCATATAATGACACGAAATTTCTTTGAAAATTCATAATTTCTTTTTTCTCAGAAAAATTATGAAATCTCAACTTTCACACAATGTGAAGTGTCATTTGGTAAACTGTAGTCAGTGCAGTACAGTACTTGGAGATCAAGTCCAATCATGAAACATTAATATCTTTCCAGCAACTGATGTGCTGTACTGTACTTGTGGCTGCCAAGTTTTATTTAATTGATATTTGGTACAGAACAATAATGAGAAGATGCAAAATTTAGTGGTAGCCTCTTATGAAGTTGAATTACAGAACTAAATGTTAAGATTTACAGTGTACAATAATAGTATATCAGGGTTTGTTTAAAGTTGTTTTGTACAAAACCCTTCAATGGGGGTTTTCATTCTCTTGATTAATTTTGAAGAGTATAAAGTGGTTTTGAAGATGCATTTTCCCTTTTACGCAGTACTCTCTGTAATACAGTACTGTATGCCCCTGATACCTGTTATACATTTTTATGATTTATTTAATGAGTGTTATTTGATGATTCTTAATTATTATTTTAATTTGTTCCAACAGAAACACTTTTGTGAAAGATTATGGGTCAATACATGATGTGAATCCTTAGTCAGATAATGTACAGTAGTACCATACATACCTACAAGTTTAGGTTACTTGTTACCATATACTGTACCTGTACAGTACTGTACTGTATACCATACTGGATACCTTTTTAATGGTACAGGTATATTTAAAGTTGTGAAATAAAAAATTATCTATCAAACTGTTACTTAAATTAGATAATAATGATAGTAGTGGTTCTTGCATGGAATTGCAGTTTAAATTTTAACTACATTTTTTTTCTTTTTTATTTGTAGAAATGTTAAACTTCAAACTTACAAAATACTGTAAGTACTCATTAACATCTACTATATAAATTATTTTACGCCATATATATAAATAACACCTTCTTTATTTCCCATTACCCATGATTGTGTAATAACAGAAGAGACTGATAAACACTTTCATGCAGGAAATGCTATTTGGATAAATACAATAATGGCAAGTGAAAGTGATAGCTTCTTCAGCCACAGAACGGTTAAACAAGACTCACCTGAAGAGGAGCAAAGAGCAAACAACTTTTACCATAAGAAGTGGATTCAGCAGATAGACTACATCCGTACCTTAACAATGTAGGAAGCAAACTCCTGGTTTATATACCATATACAGTATTAGCTTCCCTGTTACTATCAT